GAGAAATGTAAAAATAAAATATTTATGATGATGAAAAGATTAATGAAAATGACAGTACATATCATTGGCAAGTCTAATAAGAATATACTCTTTTTTCCTGAACAAATGATTAAATCTGTATTCACGAAATCTCAAGATCCTTGTTGTTTTCTACTTGATTTAAAACCATGAATCGTACAGAAAATCGTAAACTCTGAAAGAAACATGTAGCTACGAAATATAAAAGATTTTGACAGGATCTTAGAAGCATTCTGAATAGCTTTCCATTGATTTTAGGTCAGCATTCTACCAGAATTTCAATGATTCTTCAATGAAAAAAATATTTTCTGATTGCACGTCGCAAGATTTTCTAAAGAGAATTATGGAATTTGTAAACATGAATGTGTGTGTTTATGAAAACTATTGCAGAACAAGCATTACTTTGGTTTTTATGAATGACGGAACTAATAGTCAATTCTCGTCTCCCTAGCAATTAGCATTACTCCGTTGAGAGTTCTTCACCTTTAAATCCATCGTTGTAAGAATACTGAATAGAATCAGTTATAAATCTTAATAGAATTCGGAATACTTTCTAAGGACAAACATGTAAAGATCTAAACTAGATCCACGTATTTTTCGCACCAATATTTCCATATAAGGCTTCAAAAATTCTTGTTCCTGAAAAATTCATACCTATCAGAAATACGATAGTGTCAGTGTATTCTGAGGATGTGATATGTACAATACAAATAGTCCTAGAAATTCAATATTCTATACAAGTTCATTTGTTTTAGGTAGATTCCTTTTCTCATTATCAAATACATTTAAATGAGTCATATCGAGAAGAAATTTTCATTATCAATAGAAATTAATATGAACGATCGTGAAGTAAATAGAAATTATCATGATGAAAATGATATTTTTCATGGTTTTATACCTCTATGGGCATTGGTTTTATTTAGTCTTGCGATTATATTTCTTATTATATTTATTGCAGGTTTAATATGTCATTTGTTTGGTTGTCGAAGACCAAAACAAGATCAAATGGATAATATTCATTCATCAATTTTAAAACAACCATTACTTGCAGAGAACAATCAACAACAAACAACTTCAATCAAATCAAATAAATCAATACAAAAATCTAAAGATACTCTATTCTAAATTTAACATCATTATTTAAATAAATTAAATTTTCTTTGTCTTTCTTCAAAAATGAACAATTTATAAATATCGAAGAGTTATATTAAAAAGCAAAATATTTCTTGTCAATAATAATTTATAACAAAAAGAAAAAAAAAGCTGTTAATAATTTTTTCTTTCAAATCAATACTATCCAACAAAATCTTATCTTTGAATATATCTAGATATTGCCAGCAAGTACATTTGAAAACTACTAAAATTAGATCATAAATGCTTTCAAAGGTTCCAACTCGTGATATACATCAAACGAAAGAGTTAAATCTCAATTTTTGAGATCTCCCAACATTGAACTATCTAAAAAAATTGACATTCATAATTTTATACAGGAGATTTCAATTTAAATACTGTACTCTATGTAGTAGTGTCATGTATGAAGAAGGATTATCTAAATAACGAACTTTTCTTTCAGAGTGTGAAGATTTAATTCTTATGCGTGCATCAGGTGCTTTAGAAACTCATCCATACAATGCCCGTTTTCTGGGACTCAATCACGTTGCACCTATGTCTCTAACGCTGAGTTACGCTTCTGACTCATCGATCAAATACTAATGACAGTAGACAGCAAATCGATGTTTGTGTTAAAATGAGAAAATCTTACTTTGGGATGCATTTATTTTCGTTCTATGCGAAATGTTCTATCAATTTCTATTTTCAAATTATTGAATATTAAGAAAAACAAAATAATATCGAATACATACGACAAGCAATACATGAGAGAATAATATACTCGATTAGATTATTTATCAAATATTTTGATGTGTTATGCTGCATACAAACCTATTGTACATAGCTTTCATTTGGTTGTATTTAAGAGACAGAAACATTGAAGGAGAAAGTCTCCTAAGGCTACAGAGAAATCATTCATTCATTAATTTTTCTCAGAAAAATATATTCTTAACTGCAACTTTCAAATCAATGAAAACGAATATATTCCCTAGACTGAAAGTATAGGGTCTAGAAACGGAAATTCGCCTGTGTCTGTCTGTCTGTCTGTCCGTCTGTCTGTCTGTCTGTCTGTCTGTAACACGTATGGTTACCATATGGTAACTATGTGATCGTTAAAATAAAAATAAATATATATTTCGAATGGCGCGCAAAGCCAATAAAATAAGATTTTCTTTCTATTCCCAAGACTGAAAGGCTAGCGTCTAGAAATCGAAATTCACCTGTGTCTGTCTGTCTGTCGGTAACGCAGTCAAAATGGTCATTTTTTGGCACACGTGACCATTTTTATGGCATAAACGACCACTTTTTTGGCACAAGTGACCATTTTCGTGCCACAAATGGCCATTTTTTTGGCACAAGTGACCATTTTTTTGGCACAAACGGCCATTTTTTTACTAAAATTAACTAGGTAACTATGGTACAAATGAGCATGTAACTATGGCACAAACGGTCATTTTTTTGGTAGAAACGACCACATAACTATGGCACAAGTGACCATATAGCAATCATGGTACAAACAACTATTCCGGTAACTATGGTACAAATGACCATCTAAAGACTGATGTAAATGAACCCATAATAATCATGGGTAAAATGTCAATGGAATAACTATAATTTGGGTAGTGATGTAAAACGGCTTACTTACACAAGCATTTAATTAGTGAGAGTCAGACCAAAAGAGCAGTATGGATTTAAAGAAATCGTTAAAATTATTCATTATTGTAAGATTGATTGTGCAATGTTGTATCAATGAATATCTAATTTATTAATAGTTTAGAATTAATGCGTGAATTTAAGCATAAAATATTGATTAATAAAACTCAAATTTTATGAATAATATAATTCATATTTTTGTACGTACAAATAGCGCCAATATAATTATAAAAAAATCGTATTGTTGTCTAATCTTATTGGGCGCTATTTATATTCATAAAAGCAAAAAAAAATAAAACAAAAATGATAAAAAAAAATTAAATTTGTAAATGCATCATCTTTACTTAGAGTGAGAATTCTCCAAATTAAGTTTTCTGGTCGCCTAAGGTATACTGGTCATATTATCAATGTTGCGTATTACTTTTTTAATGTAGCTTTTTATGCTATTCCATCCGTACATGTATTCTATCAGTCTAGGGCTAAGTGAATCGCTTGACGATGAACGTTACTTGTTATTTTTTTTACACTCAGAAACTGTTTACATCAATAGTGTTCAATTAGTTAAAATCAAGATTTTTTGCTCTTTCAGATTTCCCTTTTGAGATAAGATTGAACAACTATCAATTATGGAAAAAGTCCAAAACTGTTTCTATACAAAGCAAAATATCGATTTTTATACAGTTGTTATTTTGTTTCTTGGAACAGCTTCAATTCATCACAATTGAAGAGTACGAAAATTCTGTATCAAATGAGATCTTACAATAAACAAAATTTCATATCACTTAAAATCTAGTTTCTATGGAAACCAATATTAGCCAAAAAAGCTTCGCTTTTAAAAATACAAAAGTTTTAAAATCTATTATGCAACATAGAACAAAAAAGTAAATAGTACACTTTGTTGAGTGAATGAAATCCTTTAAAAACTGTATCGTATTTTGAATTCTAACCAGTAGTCTTGTAATGTCTGTATTGAATACAGAACTTCCCTTTTTACATAGTCAATATGTTCTATCAAAAGATTAAAAACGTTGTCTATCCATAACAGAAAATTTCTAGGGAGAAAGATAGAACGCAAGAAAAGGAGACATCACGTTGCTTCCTTCGACTATGTGGTATATTGATAATGGATATGACTAGATTATTTCACCTCATTCTTTTCGAACTGTAAACAAAGAAATCATACAATCGATAATGTATTTTATATAATAAAACAAAAAGTCATGATAAGGTTTATAAAAAAAAAGTTTCGTGTTTTAATGAAAAAATACATAATAAAAAGTTACTTTTTCATCTTGATTAAATTCATATAAAAGTTTCATCTGACAAAACGACTTTTTGATAAATAGTATACAATAAAATAATAAAATAATAACTAAGAAGAAAAGAGAAAGATCTATTTTTTGAATCGTTTTACTGATGGTTTTATTTCTTTATATATATAATCATCAATTGTATCTTGATTTCGTTTATGTGATAATATTTTATTACTTTCATCTTTGAACATATGATCTTGAAAATATTTACTCGGTGCTTTTTTTATTACAAATGAATCAAGTGTATTTCGATTTGATGATACTGTTTTACTAGAAAATAAAATAATAAATAATTTCTATATATTTAATAATATATTACTTTTCTTTATCAACATCAATCGGTTGAATATTATTAATATCATTAAATTTTGTTGAACCTACATTTGGTGTTACTCGATACATTTTAATATCATTATTTGGTACAAGTAATGGAAGAACCTAGAAATAAATAAATATATTTAATATTATTTTTCTATTTGAAGAAAAATAAAACTTTTACTTGTTCAGTTTTATATCGTCCAAAATCAAGCCATTCATCTATTTCATGTTGACTTGATAAAATTACCTAGAAATCATTTTTTCACTTAATAATTATTCAAAATCTATTTCTTACTGGCATTCGAACATGTACTTTACGCATTGTTTCACTTGCATCTACTGTACATATTGTACATGTATATAATGGTTCACTCTATATAAAATAATAATTTTTTTTTGTTTTTTGAATAATTAAAATGTAATAAATACTTCACAATGTTGATTAATTTCAAAAAGACCAGCCATAGCTAATAATGGTAATTTATCTTTTTCAGATTGTTGAGAAATTTTTTCGATATTAATATTTGGATAATGTTTTTCATTAAGAAATGGTTCTGTTTGATAGATAAAGAAAGGTGTTTTCGATACATTCTTCTTCCATTCGAAGAATCTTAAGAAAAAAAAAGAATTTATTTTTATAATAATAAAATTTTTCAAACATAC